TGTGTACACGGCAGGCCCTCTTGAGCCCAGGGCCTTCCAGGTGTTTTTTTCTTGGAGCTTTGCTTTTGCATCGTATCCTAGTGTTTGTCACATTCCCTCCCATAAAGCTCAATTAGAGCCAGGCTGTGCTATTGGCTGGGAAATCATCTCCGACGCCCTATCTTAGGGATTCTTGCGCCCCGTGGGGGTTGAAGGGATTTTCGGCTCAGGGGCAGAATGATCCTGCAGTGCCCAGTTCCACAATCTGTGGGAGTTTGTCCCTCTTTGCAGCTGACCGCATTGCAGAATTCCCTGTGGGACAATAACAGAAACCCTTATTAGCCAATGGTGTTGTTGGAATAAAATCTCCCCACTGCAGTGTCTTGGTCCCAGGCTATAAGGTTACCCCATGACTCTCTCTGTATCTTTACCATTTTTTATTACAGCTGAACACACGCTCCTCATTAGTACCCTGGGTGATATGGGGAATCAGCGTGCTGGAAATTATGTGGAATAGGTACCAGATGTTTGTGTCAACGTGGTATGCATTGGTATTTAGAATGCGTAAGGATCACATTTATTAAATGTGAAAATTACTTACTATATCCTCTCCCACACAATAACCACCCCTCCCCGCCCAATATTTGACTCTGTTGCATGAGGTGTGATATTAATTTCTTTGGGGACAGATTAAATTTAAAGTGTGTGCAGCAAATGCATCTGTTCCCAAATGCTTTGTCTGTATTATGTCAAGTCTCCGGGCTGGCCTGCCGCCAGCGTGGATGTGGGGGTTCTGTAACTGAGACTGGAATGCTGTGTTGTAGCAAAAGAACATAATGAAAGGGTGAGTCTATTTGCATTTTTTTTTCTTTAAGTGGAACTGGGAATTTAGACATTGATGTTATAGCCAGATTTTAGAAACATTTCCCACGTGCAGATAAGCAAGCATTCGAGAAAAAGAAGAAGACATTTGGTGAAATGAGAAATGAGCTTGTGTTTTCTCGTTAAGTTTATGAAGTCTATTAAGTCAACCGAAAGGTTGCAAGTGTGAACGAAGCAGCTTATTATATTTTCTCAGACACGAGTTAACATGTATGTTTGGCCCAGAAGTATGTTGACCAAGTCCCGAGGTGAAGGACTGGAAAAGTCAAGGTAGAAGCAGGCAGTGCCTTGTCATGGGAAGAGCTTGGACCCGGAGTTTGAGGAACCCAGGTTCAAATCCCATCCTGCCAGGTATTGGTGGTTTGTGATTTTTGGCAAGTTACTTAAACTCTCTGAGACTCAGTTTTCATGACTCCAAAATGGGTGTTCTGACACTGTCTCTATGTGGTGGTATGAGGATTAGACATGATATGTGCACAGCGTGTGGCCCAGACAAGGAGCATGATAATTCTTACTCATTAAGAATCAAACCCTGGCTCAGTAGGGGGATGGGACCGTAATGGGTTCCACCATTTGCTTCACAGCGTTGCTGGGGCCCAGCTGCTGAACAGAGGGGCCCTGCCTTGTGAAAGAGGCTGCTTGGTCGGGGTCACCTGCGGAGTTTCTCACCACAGGGTTTACCTGCATCTGTGCTGTCTTCGGTCAGTAAATGTGTTTAGATAATAGAAGCAGCAATTTGTGGGTGGACAGAGGCCGTATGTCTGCCCGGATGGCTGAGGAGGGTGTCCTGAGCTGGAAATATGGAATCTGACATCAGGTGAGGAGGGAGGAGAACAGGTCAAACAAAACAATGCCCGAGACCTTGAGATCAGGTTGCTGAGTAGCAGTGGGGAAGGATCAAGTCAGCTCAGACTTTGAGGCCAAGAGAAAGTTAGGCTGCTTTGGAAATTACGCCCAAAGAATCCGGGCAGGGCAGGTCCTGGATGCCCAGAAGAAACGGGGATATCTAGATTGGGAGCAACGGTAAGGACTGTCTCTGGGGGTGCGTTACTGCCAGGAAGCACTTGACTGAAAGGTGCGCCCAGCTCGGTGGCTGGCAACGGATCTACTTACAATGGGAAGGAAATCTGTTCTACCCACGTTACAGAGTTTCTGGGAGGCCTCTGACAGTACCGGGTCTGTAAAACGCCTTTTGCTTAGAAAGCCCGGTGCAAGGGTAGCAGGAGCGTGCCTAGGATGTTGCTTTGAGCCAGCGTTTCTTCTGCATCACCGTGCCCTGGTTCGTGCTGACTGTGGTGAGGAGCGCCTGCCGTGCTGATTAGCATCATCAGCAGGGCCTGCTGCTCGCTTGCTTGCCGACTGTGGGGTAGAGATTGCTCAGGGAAGGAAGGGCTGTGGGTTTCCAGCGGTGGCCACAAGAGAAACTCCCAGCCTGCCGACGCTGCCAGTGAGAGCCTGAGCTAGCAGCTCCGGAGCTCACAGGTTACCATGAAAGTGAGCAGATGAGTCAGATGGGGTTTTGGAGCATACTTGTGGCTGAAGCACTACGCTTGGGCCCCATGGTGGTCAAGCGAGAATCAAGGCGGCCTCGCTGCCTCGCGCATCTGTGGGAGAGGCTGGGGGTGGGTCACCTGGTTGCCAGGTGGCAGTTTTTCTAACCGGAGACGGGTCTGGCATTGTGTGGGTAGACTGTGGAAGGAACCACTATGGGGCAATGGGAAAGGATGGGAGACCGGTTCATGGAGGTTGTCTATGGCCACAGGGGGAGGAGTACGAAGGCTTGGGGGGCACCCAGGAGGTAGCAGGATGAGGCTGGGGCCTGATGTGCTGATGGGGGAGACAGGATTGTTGTGCCATTGGGAGAAAAGGGTCTTGCCAGGAGAGTGTCTGGGTTAATAGGACAAAGGCAGGTTTGGGTTTCTGTCTTCTGTGACATTTGAGGGTGGCGAAGCCCCAGCTGGAACTTGATTTTTTTAAAAAACATATATATTTTTTTATTGATTTCAGAGAGGAAGGGAGAAGGAGAGAGAGCTAGAAACATCTATGGTGAGAGAGAATCATTGATCGGCTGCCTCCTGCACGCCCCCCACCGGGAATCGAGCCCGCAACCCAGACATGTGCCCTTGGCCAGAATCAAACTGGGGCCCCTTCAGTCTGCAGGCCAATGCTCTATCCACTGAGCTAAACTGGCTAGGGCTGGGACTTGATTATTAGCAACCCGAAATGCCACCTCCTTTATTTCATGATTGGATTTTCCCCTTTATTACAAGACTAGAGGCCTGGTGCATGAATTCGTGCACAGGTGGGGTCCCTCGGCCTGGCCGGCTATCAGGGGCCGATTGGGGCCGGCCGGCAGGGGGGAGGGACTGCGGGAGTTTGGCCAGCTACAGGAGGTTGGCTATGGGAACGCACTGACCGCCAGGGGCAGCTCCTGCGTTGAGTGTTTGCTCCCTGGAGGTCAGTGTGCGTCATAGCGACCAGTTGACTGGTTGTTTAGTCGACTGGTCATAACAGTCACTTAGGCTTTTATATAGATTGAAGCTTTGGCTATTAGGTAGAGTAAAAGAACTCTAGGATAGAGTCTCCTGTTGGTAGGAAACCCATTGAGCATGGATTACCTCGTGGTTTTTTCCCCTTTCCTCTCTCACCACCTTCCCTCATTGATATTTGAGTGATGCTGTGTGCCAGGCATCATGCTGATGTAAGGGATGGAGTAATGAGCAGAATGATCGGATGCTGTTCTTCTGCAGCCCTTGGGTGTATGCAGACATTAAACAAATCATCGCTTAATCAGAGTGTGCCCTGTGCATTCTTTCTCCTTTCCTTGACCTTGGACTGACTTGTCTAAGCCATGGCTGACACTGCAGCCCATCAAGTGGGGTCTGCCCTGTCCTGGACTTGGCAGGACAAAGGCGTCCTCGTCCTCAGCACTGGGGACATCCCCTCTCTGGCTCCCTCCTTCTCTGTGGAAAACCTTATCCTCTTGTTGTATTTCCAGGGAGTGTTTGCTTCCACCCTGGTGTGGAGACGGGCAGTGTGGAGGTTTAAGGAAAAACCTACTGGGTGATGGTAGCAGGAGGAGGTTGCAAGCCTTTTTACAGATGTGTTTTGGGTAGCACTGTAGCCCAGTCGGAGCTTTGTACATAAAAAATGGAACTGAAATGTATTCTTTATTTGCGCTTAGTCTGTGATAATGACAAATGGTAGGAGGCTATGAAACCAGTTCGGAAGGGCTCTCCAATGTGAGCAGCCATAGCCGCTGTGTGTCCCGAGTTGAGTAGGAGACTCTTCTCTCTGGAGCTCTGGGATGTGGAGTGCACCAGACAGCCCACTGTGGCTGGTGAAGGCAGGAGGGGAGCAGCATGGGGCACACCTGCTCCTACCATTTGCATGTGTGGGAACTTCAGGGAATTGTACATTCAGTACTTTCTGCCTTTGCTGCTGTGACATCTTTCTTCACTGCCTCTTAGAAAGTAGCTGGACGCAGTACAGGAACACGGAGGGCGGGAGTAATTATTTGAGAAGGTACATACTTTATTGCAGAAGAGATGACTATTGCCAGCCTATAGCCTGTCCATGATTCTGAAGTAGACTTAGCACGCCAGGCAGGAGGCCTGCGTAGGGCACAGCAATGAGGGTGCTATTTGCCTCCACTTGTTGCATCTTATTTTGTATTGTCCTTACATTTATTTTGCTTCGTCTAAGTAGCAGAAGCACTTGAAAGGTCGGGATTTAAACTTCTTGGGGTATCATTTTAGGTGTTTAATATTATTTATGCATAATGTTATTGGAACTTCAGGCAATTTATTTCATTTATTTCTGGTTTTCTTGTAAGAGGAGAAGGGAGAATTAAACACAGATGTCAAATGGGAGGTTTCCTCCATCCAAAGGGATACATTCATGACTTTTGCATCTAAAAGGGAATTGAAGTAATCAAATACACATCAAAATCATCCAAAAGGAATTTAAGAGATTGGAATTTTAGAAGACCAGGCTAGCTTTTTTGTCGTTTAGTTCTGGAAACAACGTACCTGGAGGGACTCCTTGGGTGGGCTGGCAGTGGCTTGTCCACCCAGAACAATTTGATTGTGGCGCAGTCGATTGTGGTTTCTGACGGGTGTTTGTGATTCCGCCTGCAGGCCCAGAGCCCAGTGCCCAGTGTGAACTGTCGCCGGTCAACGCCTCCCATCCGGTGCAGGCCTTGATGGAGAGCTTCACCGTCCTCTCGGGCTGTGCCAGCAGAGGCACGACGGGGCTGCCGCAGGAGGTGCACGTCCTCAACCTCCGGGGCTCGGACCCGGAGCCTGGCCAGCCGCAGAGAGAGGTAGGTACAGGCGCCGGCTTTCTACCCATGAACAAAGGGTCCTTTTCTTCCATTCAGGGTCTAACAAGGATGATCATGTATGAACACACGTGGGGAGGAGGATACAACGTACACTCAAGAGAGAAGGATTTCAACTACCAGATTGCCCTCTGGACTGGTCAACTCTAGGACTTGCCTCTCTAGAGATTTACTCTAACTTTCCTGGCCCCTCCCATTGGAAAGAATATTCTTACGAATTTCGTCTTTCCAACATGGCTATGAAAGAACACAAATGTGTGCCACGGCTTTGTCATTGTAAATGTCTTTTCCGTCTTCGCCTGTGCTCTCTCTGTCTTCTTTCTTTGCTTTGTCTTATGCACCTGTGGCTCCTGCAGGGTGAGCCAGGGAAATGGGAAGACGCTGGAATAAAGATGACAACACTTGGTACTTCCATGAAAGGCCCGGGGCGTATCTTCTTATGCTGTCCTGGCTGCTTTTCAAAGATGGTGGCGGTCTTGGTGGTGCGGTGATGATCCAAGCTCCTAGTGACTCAACATTTACTCGGCCCTCAGCACTGGTTGAAGCACTTACTGCATTTACTCCATGAAGTCCTGTCATTATCCTCATTGTCCATGTGACAGGCAGGCGCACAGAGAACTCACTGGCTCAGAAATGACCTGCAGCTCAGAAATGACCTAGATTGTGGGCCAAAGGGAACACAGTTGTCAGTCTTTCAGGTTTTGAGCTTCTGTGTGTCAGAAATGTTATCACTCAAGTATTATCTCTCCAGGGAGGGAGAAACCACAAAAAATTCTGATCACAGTGAAGTGTAGGAAAACTAATGTAGAACAGAATTTATTTTTGAACTTTCTTCTGGTCAAGAAAGTTAATTTCCAGAACCATTTGTTTATGCGCGTCAACCACTCCGCCTTTTTGGGGGAGCGGAAATAGGAGAGGTGAGGTGTCCAGAAGGAAAAGCAAACTGATTTTAATCCTATGAAAGTGTGCGGAGTTGGCTCCTTTCAAAGACAAATCATCTAACCTTTCCAGCTACATTGGAAATTATTGTTAATGCTCTTGGTTGCTTGCCATTGTAGCTGCAACACATATTTCGGGTCAGATTTCTTTATCCAAGTAATATGTCTTTAATTCTTAACTTATGGGGGAGAAATGGTGGTGGGAGGAAGAGGGGGGAGGAGGAAATGCAGTTCCTAAGAAGCGCTGCTGACTCCAGCGATTCTTTAGCAGCAATAATGACTCATTTTATATATGCTTCTCAGAGGAACCAAGGAGAAAGAGAGTTCGAGTTATTACAGAAGCAGCAACAGGAGAACATTCTGGTAGAGTTGCTGACTCTGAAAACAGATTCAAATAAGACTGTCGAAGCAGAAGAAAAACACCTCAAGGAATGACAGCAGCTCTCCCACACTTGTCTTTATTATGTTAGATCAACATGGAATTCACTTTAGGCCACAGCAGGACCTAGGATACATGCTAGTAAGCTTAGATGGCGCCAGGGGACAGTGTGTTCAGCGAGGAAATAAAGGAAGCGTCTGTGGGGGGTAGTCTCTAAAGCTTGTTTAAAAACCTGGCCATTCTTCATCTTCCTTCAGTATTTTTATTGTATGTGTATGGTTTTGGGTAAGTGATTTGAAGAGATTTCTGAGACTAGGCAAGTAAGGGAATTGTGTTCTTTCTGTCCTTGGGGACTTTTAAGAATTAGATGGTTGTAATTCAATCCTGTTTGAAAACAAGATGGGATGAGTGATCTTCGGGAGTTTCACAGCTCAGAGCTGCACTCACGTGGCGGACTGCGTGTTTGATATGTAGGGGGCGGTGCGGAGGACATCAGAGCAGAGGGGCCGAGGCAGAGAGAGTGAAAGGGTTTGCTCATGGGTGGTAAGATGAGGATGGAGAAATGTTAAATCTCTCTCACCTTCTTCATCTATGACTGTGGAGATACATGACTGCACTCATGCCAACAGTTTTTAAAAATCATTTAAACCATATGATCCAGCAATTTCACTCCAAAGTACATACGTACTCAAAAGAAATGAAAACATATGTCTACACAAAAACTTGCCCACAAATGTTCATAGCAACATTATTCATAATAGCCAAAAACTGGGAACAAACCAAATGTCCATCAGCTGATGAATAGACAAATAAAATATGGTAGAAGAATACGCTGGAATATCATTTAGCAATAAAAATGAAGAAATGATACATGCTACAACATGGATGAACCTTGAAGTGCTTTGCTTAGAGAAGGAGGACAGACATAAAAGACCCCATATTATATGATTCCATTTATTTGAAATGTCCAGAATAGACAAGTTTATGGAGCTAGAAAGTAAATGAGTGGTTGCTTTGGGCTGAAGGGCAAAAGGGAGAAATGGGAGCTACTGCTGAGTACAGGATTTCTTTGGAGGGCCGGGGGCCGGGGGGATTGAAACGTTCTCAAATTAAATTTTGCTGGTGGTTCCATAGTTGAATATGAATATACTAAATACCATTGATATAATAACTTAATCAATAAAAAAAAGCCAGATCCCAAGTAGGCAAGAAAAAAAATAGATAAATACCATTGATAAATGTGAATATACTAAAACCCATTGAATTATACTTTAAATAGGCGAATTTTATGGTATGTGAATGTTATCTCAGGAAAGCTGTTTAAAAGAACCGATCATTTGACTTGCCAGTAATTAGCCCATAAAGTTTACTTTAGCCATAGTCACTTTTTTTTTTTTAACCAAGATTGCTTTCTCTTCCAACCTAAGCTCACCCAGGTCTTCCTGATTCTCTCTGGGTGACTTGATTTTTATAGATGTACGATGATATGGTCTGGGCTAAAAATCACAGCCGATCCATTTTGGGGGCAGTAGTGGGAAGACCAGAGGCAGCCTTGGTGTGTGTCTCTACCGGATGTTAAAGGCAAATACTTTTCCAAAAGGAAATGATAAATGTTGTTGCTTATAAATTAGCAAAAAGAATGCCACTCTGGCTCCAAGCCATTGTTGGATGACAGCTATAGTTGTTTTGCATGACGTCCTCCTTAAATGTGAGGGAATTACTAAATCAACCCTGTTTCCCCTCGGCTTGTTGGTGCGTGATCAGCATGAAGACCTGTTATGAATCACGCCTCCCTAACACTGGACCACATTCCTGCCTCCCAGGCACCTTAAGGTTGCTCGTCAGCTGAGAGAGCTGCCCCTGTTCCTGGGTGGAGGAGCTGACAGAGCCTTTACCTGGATGCAGTAACCACAGCAGGTTGACAAGATCCGGGGAAACAGTTTCTCTGAAGTTAGACAAACAGTTTATAGGCGAGCAGAGAATTTGTATCAGAACCCCACTTGCCACAGTAAGGTATGCAAAGCCGTTTGGCCGTTGGCTGCCCTGCTGGGTTCTCATCGGGACAGCACAGACCTATCGCTGTAGTTTTCATCTGAGACCACGCCTCTCATTTGTCATCCTTGGTTTTGCACACAACAGCCTCGGAAGGGAACGGGAAACTGGAAAAAGACTCCCTGGCCACAGAGAGCAGAAGAGGGAAACAGCCCCGAGATGTCAGCTTTGTCTTTTGGAATCAGCAGGCGGGTGGCACAGGCTCACCCTAAAAAACCAACGCCTTCTGCTCTTTGACGTCGAAGTAAAAGGCACCCTCACCCCCACCCTCTGTCAGATTTTGGTCCCTCCGGTGTTTCCTGGTTTCTGAGGGGGGGTGGTGGTGCAGCACCACCACTGGCTTGTTTACAGTAACATCCTTTCATTAGTTGCTAGAATGGCGACAATTTTCTTTCCTATCATCTAATTTTTACTGCTTTTATGTGGCGAGGTGTCTTTTCTATTTCCAACCTAATTGCTTGCGCATGAGGAAAAGCTGCTGAGGATCACCCCCTGGTTAACATGACACATAATGTGGGTACAGACAGACCTCCTTTCAGGGCGCTTGGCTGTATTGCGCTTCACAGATGTTGCATTATTTTTACAAATTGAAGGCAAGACCCTCCGCCAGCCAAAGGATGACGACTCGCTTTATTGCGGTGGCCTGGAGTCACACCCACGAGATCTCTAAAGCACGCCTGCAGGAGATACGGGCGTTTACATTTCTGTATGTGTTTTGACATAAAGGAGCGACTGTTAAGGGCATGCCAGTGACTGGCTGCAGGGGTGGGGTGAGGATCTGGAGGCTTCGTTGTCATGGGAAAGGGGCCAGATTTAATAACTTTATTGTCAGAAAACTCAGAACCCTCCTTGATGCGTTTGCTTATTCTCTCCCTCATTCCAAAAAAGGCTTTGGGATGGGCTTACAACAACAAGACGTACCAACAGCGTAAGCAGAAATGCGAAGTGAGGACAGAAGAAAGAAAGAAAAGCGTAGTTTGGTCGCCATGTGGGTGAATGTGGTCGGTATGGTTGGGTTTGAAATTTGGCTCCAGGCTTCTTGGCAGGCGGGACCGAGTGGGGTGTGTGGTTCATCACACATGTGGCTCCAAGTCAGTTTTACTTTGTACCTTCTCTGAGGACGGGGGCATAAAGCCCTCCGTTTCCTGGTTGTTTCTGAGGGCAGGAAGGATCACAACTGGGAGAAAGAGAAGGAAGTAAACACATCTAAAATGCTGACTGTTCTGCTTGCCTCTGGACAGCTCCCTTATCACCACTCTCTCCCACCCCCACCCCCACCCCCACCAAATGACAGTAACAGCTATGGTGGTGGGGGTGGAGAGGCGCCTGCTGTGGGCCAGCCACCTGCCCACACTTGAGTTCTGGCTTCATCAGCCTGAAAGCGGGGGAGGCCTGAGGAGGTTGAACCGTGGGCCCTGGCCATGTCTTTGGACTCAGTAGTCCCAGCTTTCCCCACACTTCCGTCCACTCCCCTTTTCCTTGTAGCTCCTACCCTGTCCTATCTCAGTTGGCTCTACCTGCTGGGTGAGCCAGCAGATCTCCTACCCGGGTTGGGGTTCGCACGTAGTCTTGCGATCGCCTTTTCCAGTGCTCGAAGTTCTTTCCCTTCTTCA